ACAAGTAATAATTAAAGTGTAAGAATCCAAAAATGAGTCAATGAGATATCTTGATATGAGTCCAATGAAATCATTTCAATTGCACAAACTATACACTAAGAGCCTGTCCGCTTCAAATTATTTTCAGTTCAGTTCAGTTTTTAATTTCGTTCTCTCATAAAATATTTAGTTCAGTTCAGTTCAATACATCTTATGTTGGAGATAAATCTAATTAACTCAATTAGTTGATTAATAAGTTGCTAAGCTTCGTATACTATTGTAAATTTGTAATTGTAGGAAGAAGTGAATATGGAAAAAAAAAAAAAAAAACTACGGAGTACACAACTACTCATTGATGCATCAATAAATTGAATACTTCGAACATCACGAATAAAAAAATATAGAAGTATTTTTTTATTTTATTTTTTACAAATTCTCTCTTTTTTGTAACCCTTCTTGACAAATAAGTCTAAAATGTAATTGACATTGAGTAAATAACGAGAGAGTAATGATAATACAAACTTGCTTTGTTCCTTCAAGAAAAAAAATATATACAAACTAGTTTTGTAACTTAATTTTTTTTTTTCTTAGTAGCAAATTACTATTAAAAGTTTCTATTAAATATTCTTAGTAGCAAACCAATCCCCTTCTCAGCTCCTCTGCCTCCCCCCTTTTCATCATCTTCAGCAACATCCGAATCTGCACTTCTGCAGCAGCAACATCAACAACATATCATATGACCTAGCAATAAACATACCATAATAAAAATAAAAATAAATAAAAAAAAAAAAACAGCAAAAGAAAGAGATAAAGAGAAGAACTAAGCGGAAGGAGCAGGAGGAATGCAGCATTCTTCTCACTGTGAAAAATATTTTATACTCAGAAATAGAGGACATTAGTACTGATGATAATCACAAAATATGGAATAATAAGGCAATACATTAATCCCTGAGACAGTTGATTATTTAATTTTAGCAAAGTATAATCAGTAAATTACACAACCCACAATAGTAAACAGAAATATAGAAAGAAAAATTACCTCATTAAAGAGTCCGATTTAACATTAACATCCAACCTAATTACAGTATGCACCATACTCTACAAATTAGATGGGTAGACAATCAACACTTAAACTAACACTCTATTTTCATCCCTATCTGCTAAAGGCCCAAAGATCATGAGTTATATTTTAAAAAATTGCAATATAATGTCAATCTTGTCACTTTAATTTCAATTTGTTTAAAATTAACCAAGCAATTCTCTAATTCAACTGAATTGTAACCTACTAACCTGATAATAACAATTAAAATCGAATCCTATCACTTTAAATTCTATTACAATTATGAAATTCAAGTAAATAAAAAAGCCTAATCAAAACTAACTATACATATTAATATAGAAATTATAAGGAAATAGTAGTACCTTGAGTAAAATAATAAGACTTTATTGTTCTTCTACCTCTTTAAAATGCAATAACCAGTGCTATCCCAACTCATCACTTTAAATCTTTAATCTTCTTCGGCCAAAACTACGAATTAACAAGAACAGACGATGCCATTGATGGAGGAGAGAGAAAAAAATGGGGGCTTTTGGGATTATTAAAGAATTTTACCATTAATGTTTGGCGCTCAACAAAAATTATCCCGCTCAACCCAACCCTCATCCGCCAAAAGACCAAAATTTTTACCGCCCAAGTTTCCCTCCCATTAATTTCCCTTCCCTCTTCTTTTTTGTGGGACCTGCTGAGTTGTTCAAATTTTATTTGTAGTGTGTAAAATCAATTTGTACACTGAGTGTGAATGTAGTGTTTTCGATAAATGAGTTGGCAAGTCTCTGAACATACGAAACTTTTAGCCATTGTCCATTTTGTCCTCTTCAATTCTGAACATAAGTACAAAATCTGTTCTAACTGCAAACCACAGACCCAACTTCCAAGCTACATCTCCAAAAACTGGCTCCAATCAATAATAGTCTGCAAGAAAGTAGGATTTAGCTAGCTTGGTCTATAAACTACTTATCTCTAAACAAACATATTGCTAAAATTTCAGAACACTGTCTCATCTGCCCCAGCATTGTAGCCATTGCTCATCTTCTCCACGTCTTCCTGCGATAAAAGGGTTCTCTTACCACTGGCGCCACTCTTATCATATGGCTGAGCCATCTTTCGGAGAAACTGCAGCACACAAAAAATTCTCTTATCCACACAAGATATTGCAAGGATTGTGGCAATAATTTTTGAGATTATGTTAGTTACTCCATACAACATATGTAAGTAATCAATCAAAATGGCACCTCTCTTGCTATGTGTAAAGCCATATCAGTGCTCAAATTAAGGTAGGCATCACGTAGGTGAGATAATATCCATCCAGGCAGCTTGGAGCGCTTATCATGCCGACTATATCTGCAAAAGAAACCGACAAAGAATTAATTATTTTAAAAGACTGAAAAATTTTAATCATTTTGGCACACATCTAAGACAGCATACAACACCTACAACCACATCACACTTGAAAACATTAACACCTTGTTTGGATAGAAGGAAATGGAAGGAAAAGGGAAGAGAAAAGGAGGGGGACAAACTCTTTTGTTTGGATAAAGGATTGGGGGAAGGAAGGGAAAGAAGAGGGAGGGATCCATTTTTACTCTCTTTAATAAACATAATCTCTCCAAAATTGGAGAGATTTGGAGGGAAAATGGAGCTCACCTCTCCCTCCTTTTCTTTTCCCTTCCCTTCCCTCCCTCATCTTTCCCTCCACATCCTTACTTTCCTTATTTCCTATCCAAACAAAGCGTAAATCACAATTAACAATGCACTGTTGTCAACAGCTGCTTAATGGATTTTAAATCCGCAAGATTATGGAATTAATTAGTTTTGATTCTACCTCCGTTTCTTTTTAGTTGACACATATTCCTTTTTAGGAAGTTTTTTTTAGTTAACACGTTTCCTTTTGGGGTAAACTTTTTACCTTGCATTTACAAGCTACTCCACTTGCTTTATCATTCTCTCTCCTCTCCTTTTCTTAATATATGTGCCTAAATCAAACGCGTCAACTAAATAGAAACGGAGGAAGAATAAGGTGAAGAATGCTTTGAAAAAAAAAAAAAAGACAATTTGAATGCTGTAACTTTGATGTCAGAGAGCCATTGTTTTTAATATTTTGATTCCAAGCATAAATTTCATGTAGCCAACCCCACTAATGGGATTAAGGCTTTGATTGATTGATTCCAAGCATAAAATTATGTTAACAACATTATGACTGTATTTTCCTTTGAACAGACCATATAGAATTTTAGGTATCTGCTGATCTTCAACAAAACAAAACAAACCATATATCTAATTGTTAGTACAGTAGCAAACCTTTTGTCAGCGAATATCATCATTCCATAATCAGCCTTTGAACGAATTACTCTGCCCACACATTGAGCAGCTTGTCTCTGACAAAGAACAATTGAATTAATCCAACAGCTAAAAGCAATCAATACACATTGTAATAATTAAAAACAATAATTCACGAGGCAATAGCAGTACCAAAGCATCAAAAGTCAGAAAATCCCCTTCTTTTATCTGAAAAGTGTCCCGCAAATATTCCAGTCGAGCAAGCAATATCCTGCAATATAAAGATCCAACAAGCTCAGATTATTTGACCTCAATTGAGAACTATCAATGCTACAAAGATGACATGATCCCACAACATGAAACTAGTAATTGCAACTATGAAAACAGTTCCAGCTACTCAGATATTGTTTGGTTCTCTCAAAGGTAAGGAAAAACCCGAGATAGAAAAGTACGAGAAAAGAAATAAAGAAAGGTAATGTGATTTGCTCGATTGAAATGAATTCATTCCCTTCTATGCCAGCAAAGTTCAAAATCATGTGTAAAATATGAATTTCAGCATAAAATACATGGATTTAGGAAAACATAGACGCCAGGCTTATTTGGGTTTGCAAGCAATAGAATTCAAATCCCTAACGCCCAATCATTTTTATCAGAAAATAAAAAAAATAAAAAAATGAATAAAAAATATCCTCATTCTCACTCCAATTCCCTCAATTTTCCGTGTTCTAATATCTCTCGTCCCACGTTAAAGCCAGTGTGTAAACCAACACCAACTTCATCCATCGCCGGGACCATCTCCCAACATGTAGCACCGACCTTTTTCTGCCCAACCCCTCTCTTCCTTCCTTTCCATTTCTTTTTTTCTGGCACCAACCCTCCATGTTCCTCCATCTACTCCTACTTCAAGCTTATATTGTTTGACGGTCGATTTTCACACAAAAGTTACAGATTTATGACTTCCATGGCCATAACGATAGCTAACATTTTAAATTTATTACTGATTATTTTAGAGAATTGATGGCTGCTATATGCAGTGCTGATGTCGGTTGTTTTGAATATTGGTTGGTTCTGATGGTTTGTTTTGTGGTGAGGTAAGGGCAAGTGATGGCGTGGGAGAGGACATGAGTCAACAAGGAAGGTGATGGGGGGAACAAAGGTAGATGATGGGGATAGCACAGGCAAGAGCTAGTTGTGGTGGTGTGTCATGGCGTACAAATATATAAAAATTGAAATACGTAGTAATAAATACCAAATTCAAATTCCCATGGAGTTAGGTTCAAATCTTGAGGCCTAAGGGGTTTGGATGCTGGGCCTCACACTTTACAAGCCTTGCATATTTGCGGAACAAATCACACAGTGATCTCAAACATATGTAAAATAAAAACCTTTCGAGCCAAATGCCCCCTAAAAATGTTATGCAGTAGTTCCCAACATGAAAGACAATAAATAAGTTCCTTGGTATTTTCTCTATTATCTCTCTCACAATCTCTTCTATTTTTCCAATCATCCAAAATTAGTCCATCTCTATTTGTTAATCACTTTTATGAAATTAAAAAGTAGAGAAGAAAAATGATTGTGGGAGAGGGTGGGCTCAATAACACTAGGAGAAGAAAAAGAAAAGGAAAAAAATGGAAACTAATAATCCCACCTTTGCTACTTCTGTTCAAAACATTCCCATCATTACTACATAAACGAGCAAAAGCAATGGTCAAATGCAATGGTTATAGCTAACGCAACGGTCCAATGCAACGGGTAAAGCTAAATGCAACGAAATTTTTTCCTATTGCAACAGTTTTAAGATAACCGTTGCGGTAGCTCTTCATATGCAACGAATTTTCTGCCTATTGCAATGGCTTTGTAATGGCTGTTGCATTAATTCCTCCGTATAACTTATTAGCATGTGCAAGGTGCAAATGTGTGTGCCTTTCTTAATCAAGCAAAATTAGTGTACCCAGAATTTCGTGAAAAGCTCACTATCTCTCCTCTGCATTCTCTTTACTTCCTTTTCATATCTCTGTCCTCTCTCACCCTCAACCTCTCATCTCTTAATTCTCATCAAACACCCCCATTGCATGCTTTCTCCTTCATCATTCACCGGGTAAACTCAAATATCCTAATATCAATTTTTAGGGTTTCGAATTTGCTTAAATTTGAAGAAGCTTTATCGAGTTTCGCTCACCGTCCCTCTCGCCTCCTTCACCAGGTCACACTCCTAAGAGTCCCAGCTATCCTGTTGATTTGTTGTCGGTGTTTTGTAATCTCCTCCTCTTTCAAGGGTAATTTCTAGATCTAAGCTTCTAAATTTCGCATAATCTTGCTTTTAATTGCTAATATTTATGCTGATTTTGGTAGTAATTCATTTGATTATCAATTATGTTAGATTTAGGGTTTCAAATTTCAAATTCAAATTCGTTGTTATCTTGTGAATTGCTATTTTGTGTGTTGTTTCGATTGTCATTTGTTTGATTATTGACGTATGTTAGATTTTAGGGTTTTCGGTTTTCACCAACTATTTCCTTATCTTCTTTAGAATCCTCATTCTATGCATATTTTATAGTGATGCATTTATTAATAGCTGCACATGCTAACTGATTTTACTCGTGCATTGTTGCCTATTTTATATTATTGTCAATGTTGTTCCTATTTTCACCCAATCATGAGATTTACTTTTTGATAGGTATGTGTGTTTTATATTTGGTTAGTTAATCTGAGGAAGAACGGAAAGAAAGTGTTGTAGTATGAGCTCGGGAGAATTTGAATGACTTGAATAGAATTTGAAGTGTGCAGTTCCAGTTTGTAATGGTGAAATTCATCATATTTGTTTAGGGACCAAGCAATTTGAACAAAAGCTGTTTGCCGAGATTAGAGGACAAATAAAGGAGGATGACACCTTTACGGAAAGGTAACTACTACTACGAAGAGAATGTTAAGGCTAAGGAGTATGCATACTGTTGCATTGATACTTTAAAGGTAAACTTGCATCTTCTCACACCTCTACCACTATTAGTTTTGGTTTCTGACCTCATTTTTTGGGGTAATATATTCCTGGTTCCTAACAAGAAGCTGATTGCATATGCGGAAGATAGTAAAGGATATGAGATTTATACCATTCACGTCACTGATTCTGAGACTCTTGAACCCATTGAAAAGCCTCGGTGGGTGTGACATGTGATTATGAGTGAGCAGGTGATGGAGCTTTGTTGTACATTACAATGGAGCTGGGCTGGCAAGGGTTGCTGCCCTGCCGAGGCTGCTACTGAAAGCTGGCCTGGCAAGGACTGCTGCCCTGCCGAGGGTGCTACTGCAGCTGACCTGGCAAGGCTGCAGCTGCTGCTGGCCTGCCGAGGCTGCTGCTACAGCTGGCCTGGCAAGACTGCTGCTGCAGCTGGCCTGGCAAGGCTGCAGCTACTGCTCCTGCCCAGGCTGCTGCTGCAGATGGCCTTGGCAAGCCTGCCTTGGCTGCTGCTGCAGCTGGCCTTGGCAAGCCTGCCGAGGCTGCTGCTAATGGATAACATATTTACTTTTTTATTTATGGATTTGGCTGCTATGATTATATGAAGTACTGAATTTTGAGTTTTTTTTTTATGTTCAAGTATAATCACCATTTGGTTGATTGCTTGGATGCTTTCAACTACCAAAATCTAACTAATTATTCTTGTTGTGTGTTTGAATTTAAGGTAGTTTCTTTGACATTTTGACTGCACTTGAGCACTTGGCATTTGAATACGTGAAATGTGACCAACTTTGCAGCATGCACAGTGATTTGCTGCGATTAGTTCTATTGATGATTTGATGGCTTATAAATTGTGGATGTCATTGTTTCAGGTATAAAAACATAAGCCATTGCTGCTGGTGCTATTTCTGCTCTGCCGGAGCTGTTGTTGCTGCTGCTATTTCTGTTGTGCCGGAGCTGCTGCTGCTGCTATTTCTGCTCTGCCAGAGCTGGTGCTGCCTGCCTGCTACTGCCAGCTGTTGTTACTTCTGCAGTTCTGGAGATGCTACTACTTGAATTGAATTTTTTTTTCTTTTTTTTAAAAAAAATTGTAAAGTTACAAGTTATTAAAGAAAATATAAGTTTTACGTATTTTGGCTTAGGAATTATTTCAATGAAGCAGTAACTGCATAATCATACAATGTAAATTAAATACAATATTTTATTAATCAAAATGAAAGATTGTTATTCAATTTCGTTTACCTCATTTGAATATTAATGAAATTGAAACAAGCATATAATAATAATAATAATAATAATAATAATAATAATAATAATAATAATAATAATGAGCAAATGCAACGGTCCCAACATAGGCAATATGTGTTGCATTTGGTCTATATATGCATTGCATCAGCTCTACTGCAACGGTCTATGAGATTTTATAATGACCGTTGCATTAGGTTTATAAGGTCGTTGCATTAGGTCCTAATGCAACGGTCCATGAGAGATATTATGTGAACGTTACATTAGGTCAAAAGAACCGTAGCATTAAGTCAAAAGAACCATTACATTAGATCTAGTGCAACGGCCTCAAATGCAACGGTCCAATAACCGTTACAATAGGTCTATAGCAACGGTTTTTTGCCCTATTGCAACTTTAGGGATTGCATTCGCTCGTTTATGTAGTAGTGCATCTTTTTGAAATCTTAAACAATCCCACCTTTACCTCTCATTTGCTCAAAACGATCCTTTTTACTTGTAACTTACTCCCTCCGTCCCTTAATATAAAAGCCTCTTTTGGTTTTTACGCGGGAAATAAGAAAGTAGTAAATTCTTTGAAACTAATGATTAAAAGTATATATGTGCATGTGGGATTCGAAAGAGATAGAAAAAGAAAAAGTAGTTTGGAATAATTGAAGAGATAGAGAGCGAAAGCGTTGGAAATTAATGTTAAAAGTACAAAGAAGTAAAGGAAAAAAGATGACACCTCATAAAAAAAAATAAATAAATAAATAAATAAATAAATAAAAATAAATAAATAAAAAAAAAAGAGTAATAATGTCAAAAAATACAACCTTTAAATAAAAGGAGACATTGTGTTTTGGTTTTACCCAAAAAGGAAATGAGGCTTTGTATTAAGGGACAGAGGGAGTATTTAACAAGTCAAATTTTTTTAATTTTTATTTTAATGTCTATTTCTTTTATATCTCTTCTTACCTCCCCAATCCATTTCAATAGTAACCCACTATAGTCACCACCACAAGACCTCCATAACCACCACCATTGAAACCGCACCTCCAAAAGAAAACAAATATAAGTATATGACCAAATAAGGAAATAGAACAAAGGCGTGAGGTTAGTATGAGGGTAAGGCTAGCATTTTATCAAATAACCATCACCCTCTCCCTCTCCCCCTCCCCCTTTCCCTTTCCCCAAATAAAGAAAAAAACTCCATCAATTATGATCTTTAAGTATTATCTAACCTGTTAGTAAGGGGTTAAGGTTAGCAATTTACCACCTTGGGGTAAAAAATAACAATCTGCTGGTATAGTTGCTGTCTTTGTTTCTTGCGTGGTGGGGTGGGGGAAGTTGATAACACTAATCTCCTAACCCATTCGTGAGCATAAAAACCCTAGTTTTCTCTTCTGTTTCTCTTGTTTGTTACACCTTTTTTTTTTTAATACCAAAAGATCTAAGTTTCCTCTTCCACTTCTCTTGTTTTTTATACACAATCTATCTTAGGTAACAAAAGATGATTGGGGACAAATCTTGCTACCAGTAGAAAGCTTATTTAAAGGACAGTAGTCATACTTATTGCTTTTCTTGGAAGCCTTGTGCTGTTTGGATGAATAACAAGAGTCAAGTATGGATTTCATAAACTTCTAGAATTACCCAACACATTTACTGAGAAAGATGAAGTGCCGAAGTAAAATAGGCCACTATGAACTTATGAATTAATATCAATGTACCTTTTCTTCATATCCTAATGCACCAGTTCTCTATTGAAAGTAAAACTTTAAATTCTTGGACCATAAATTCTCATTAGTATATAAGAGAAAACATAGTCAAGAGTGAATTAGAAACCTCTAGTGTCTTTTCCAAGAAATCAGCTTTATATAATTTTGCTAATGCTTGATTAAAGATGTTTATGGTAAAAATAGTGCATCCAAGACAGTGAAAAAGCAAATGGTGCAACTGTTTTGAAATGGGGAAAGTGGTTAGTTTTGACAGTGTGAAAGACTAAAAGCTCTGGGGTTTTGCCAAGTAATTTTAGCACAGAGAAAAGGTGGAGGTTATGATTAGTCAAGTGGGAAATGTCTAGGACACATGTTGGGCAGCTGAGATAGATGGGTTGTTATTGGCTGGTTTTGGTGATAGGAGGTGGTGATGAAGCAGAAGAGTTTAACCTGAATTTTGTAGAACTGATATTATTTTTGTCGAAATAAAGAGCATGTTCTTTTCACCTTACTTTAGATGAATTGAATTTATTTTTTCTGAAATTAAATATATTTACTGAACTTATATTTTTTTTATTAAATAAAACTCATTTCACTATTCTCTATTATATTTATTTTTTTTAATTACTAATTTTTACTTAGGAAATTTTTTCAGAAAAACCATTTAAAGCACTCTTCAGAAAAAACCTTTTTACGTTTTTTTTGGCAATCTAAAACCTTATTCTAAATTTTTTTTGTTGAAGACAACCAAAAATCCTAATTACCCTAATTATCCTCTAATTTTCCCTAATTACCCTTTAACTCTCAATTAATTATTCTAAATTATAGCATTAATTAAAATAAAATATAAACCCCCACCCCACCACCAACCAGCCTCCCCCTCCCCTGCAGCAGCCACGGCGAACAGAACCCTCCCACTTCCCTTACCCTGCGCCGGTGCTGATGCCACCCCTACCCCCACCATCAGTCCGTCACCCTCCTTCTTCCCCTTGAACCACCATCCTCAATATTCCTGGACATGAACCCAGCCCCACTTCCCCGCCAGCACCAACCCACAACCACTACCCCCGAGCCCCGACCGACCCCCTCCCTTTTCCTCTAACCCTGTTCGTCGGCAAATTTTACCTTCAAAAAGATTATCCAAACAAATCGCATAAACTTTGGATCCTTTGAATCTCAATTTCGAAAGAGCTTTTGGGTTTGATATTGTGAGCATTTCCGGCGTCGATCGGGGATAGGGGTTGGGCTGGATCATTGTTGGCGAAGGAGAGGGCTAGGTTTGTGCCCAAATAAAGGGAATATTAGGGGTGGTGGTTTAGGGGGAAGGGGGAGGTTGACGGCAAATGGTAGGGGCACCGTCGGTGTCGTCGCAAGGGAGAGGGAGGGGATTCTAGCCGCCACGATTACTGCAGAGGTGGGGTGGCTGGGGTGGGGGTTAAGGTATTTTATGTTTTTTTAATTTAATTTAATTTAACTTTTTAATAATTAATTGAGACTTAAAAGGTAATTAGAGGATAATTAGGGTAATTAGAGCTTTTTGGTTGTCTTCGACAAAAAAATTTTAGATTCAAGCTTTAGATTGCCAAAAAAATTTAAAAGGTTTTTTCGAACAAAAAGAGTGCTTTAAATGGTTTTTTTCTGACAAAATTTCTTTTTACTTATTAAAAATTATTTTTGCAATTACTTTGACTAAATATTATTTGAATAAGGTGAAAAGAACAAGGCCTTAATTATTTTTGCTACACTCACTATAATTTTTACTAAACCTAAACAACAAATACCAATTAGAACTTGTAATTACTGATTCACTATCATATTTGTTGCTTTAAAGTTGTTGATTCTATAAAACTTTTTTAAATGAACTAAGTTTAATTTTGCTGAACTTAACTTAGTTTTGCTAAACTAAACTTATTTTTGAACAACCCGTCCATCTTAGGCTCTCAGCTGTCACGTGAGTAAAGATTAAGAATGTCTGATTAAAACATATTGATAAAACTTAGAACATGTGAATACGAGTAAAAATTTAGAACATATCATTAAAATCTTGAACATGGGATATGAAATTTAGAAGAATTAATTCAAATTTAAAACAGGTGAGTAATAATTAAGAACATTTGATTTAACTCATTTAAGATTTAGAACCTATGAATAAAAAATTATAACATACGAGTGAAAATTTAGAAGATAGAGAGTAATCTCACATACAGAAGTGTTATCTAGTAAAGGAGGGAATCTCACAAGAGTCTTCCCCTATAAATATATGGAGGGAATCTCACGAGAGTCTTCCCTAATAAAGAAAATATATGCAATCTGTGTTGTTGATGCATGCAAGGGGAAAAGCTTTAAATTCAATAGGTAGTAAGATTAGTAACAAGTTAAAACACAGAAGGGAACAGAGCCACTCACTTGCTCAATGTGTACTGGAAAGGAACCCCATACATGATCACTAATCTGCCATAATGTCGATCAAAATCTATACCTTCAGCTACCTTTCCCCTGCAATAAAAGTGAAGTATGCAATAAACATCTCAAATTTTATATCAGGTCATTGTAAACTTCTCAACCTCTTGATTCTGCAACAGGACATACATTAATTTTCTGATAATACCTTCCATAAATAATTCATATTCAAAAGTATTCCCTACGTTCTTTTTTGTTCGACTAACTTGCAATTTGTTTGACCTCCAAAGCATATGTTTGACCAATAATATCTTTAATTAATGTAATAATGCACACTATGAAAATAAGATTTGGAAACTATTCATTGAAAAAGACTTACAAGATCACACACGAAAATTTTTAATTTGTACATAAAAAGCCATAGACAGTCAAAGTTTTTTTAGTTTGTCCACATGAATAGTAAGTGAGTAGAACAAAAAAGAACGGAGGTAGTACAAAATCAAAAATGATTAATGACAATCTTTCCAAATAAATTTTAACAGGCAACATTTTTCTTCTGTCGTATATTCTACATGTAAGCAAAAAAACAAACATGACAAAACAAAAGCCACATGCGCACGCTCACACACAATCAGGATTCAGTAAGCCTGTGCGATTTCCTATGCAAACTGCCAAACGGATGCATGAGTTTGACGCAAGATTTCTTAGTCAATGTGGATGAACTCGTTAATATTTATGGTCATACCCTATCTGAACTTGCTAAACAACCCAATTAAAAAGCCCTGATCCACTTCCCCAGCCACAAGCAAAATTTTCAAAGTATCTGATATAAGATGGAACAAAAATATTGATCCTGCACCACTGTAATGATGTTACAAAAATAAAACAAACAGCAATTCCAAAT